CCTTGAAGATTCCATTACCTACCGAGTTTCTCTTGATCTGTTTGGCGCCTGTTTCCACGTCTGCTGTGAAGGAGGTGGTGATATATAAGTACCACGGAGTTATTTTTGGTGCTGCGGTTGTTTGTCTTAGTTGGTGATTGTTGTGTGGTGACTGTTGGGTCAAGTACGCATTAGTGTGTGTGTGCGCGTGCGCACCGCGGTTTCTTTAAACTGCGTTTGCTCATCGCTTTATTGTTAGGTGATTTGTAATGTGTGTATATCTGGTAACATGACTGAGGCCAGGATCATTTGTCCACCATGTGTTTTGCTGTTACCTCTGGGATCATTTGTCCACCATGTGTTTGCTGCCACCTCTGGGATCATTTGTCCACCATGTGTGTGCTGCCGCCTCTGGGATCATTTGTCCACCATGTGTTTGCTGCCGCTACTGGGCCACCATGAAACTGTCTTGTTTACACGTGGGGTCGTCTGTTTGTCCTCTCCGCCCAGACACTGGTTGTCTGTCTGTCCTCCTTCTAATGATATCATAATGACTTCTTTGTCTTTAGTTGTACTTGTTTGTCCACCCCCACCCTCCTTCTGCCCTCTCCACATTGGCATTAAGGCCTTGTATTCCGCGTGTGGGTTATAGGAGCCCCACACATGTGAGGGGGCGGAGGAGTAGGGGCGGGGGAATAGACAGACCTACTTCTTCTGAACAGTCATGTGGTAACGAGTTCAGGATTCGAATGTGTTGGGCCGAAAGACGCAGTTATAGTGGCCTGGCAATAAACCACAACACAACCTGCCACCCACCAATAAACCACAACACAACCTGCCAACCACCAATAAATCACAACACAACCTACCAACCACCAATAAACCACAACACAACCTGCCAGCGAACTTTTTTTTTTTTTTCAAACTAGAAGAAAAATAAGGACCCGCCCCCCTAAAAAAAAAATATAACTGAGAGAGGGGCGATATAATATATAATCATACCCACCACGCCTACACTGCTCAGATGCGACCAGTACCAACGCTGTTATAGAGGCGTGTTAGTCACAGCCCAACGAGTATTGGCGACCGGGTCACCTACTGGCTGTTTAGTTGAAGACTTCGTTGTCAATCGGGACAGTATGTGGGTCTGTCTACTTTGATTGCATCAACACGGCAATAGTAGTTTTCAGGGCCACTTGGTGGCGAACAATGAGAAGCCATTTTAGATGGCGCATATAACCTAGAATTATAGCCAGAAGCTACCCGTTCGAGGATGCTGGTTGCACGTGACGATTTCGTTTCTCCAGCCTAGTATACACCTACCTGCCTGCATAGACTGCGCAGGTGTAACCAGCACCAACACATCTCCCGACTTTACCTTTACCTTTAACACTGTTATATAGGTGTTGTTGGCCACAGCCCAACGAGGGCATGTCATCAAATACCGTTCTCGTGGTGTTTAGACAGAAGCATGAGAATCGCACCGGGATAGAAATCGATGTCTCACCTCGTAATATTTATCATGACAGCAGTAGGTACACTGTAGCCAACCTTCATTAAGAAGACGGCAAATCGCGTTGTAATCAGTGGAGCACTTTGTCGGTCAACAAGTAATTCGGTCAACGGCGAGGCCTGATTACTTTGCACGTGTTAGCGTTAGCAGATAACAATTATACTAGAGATGGTATTCCGTGAAATTTTCCTCTTCGTAGATTTGATCTGGAGAGTATAAGTGCGTAAATAGCACGGTTGTACTTGTAACTGGTAGCTTTCACATCAATACAGTTTATGCATGAGTGGTGTAAGAATGTAGTGAGCGTTCTTGTCGTTATGCTGAAGACATAAACCGACTGGCGTATTTGTAATGAATATTAATCAGTAATAATAAATAGTGAAATAATGAATTTTTCTTTGCCAATGGAAGTGTAAGGCGACGTTCATGGCTGAGGCGTTGCGAGTCCGACTCGTAATTCCAACATACCGCAATCGAAACCCACTGCTGGCTGTATGGATTTTTATCAAGGAATGGGGCGTTGCAGGTCGACCCAGCCTAAAATAGGTACCAGGATGTGTGTTCCAGGAAAGTAAAGACTGCCGGCGTAATGCTGACCACATTACCCACCCAGTGCCGATTGGTCTGTAAAAATATAAATGCTCTTCCCATATGCCGATGCGCCTAAGGCTTGAAAAGGGATTTAATAAACTGAAAGTGTAACAGGTGGTTACAACAGTTATATGCACTACTTGCCACTGAATTCAGTCGTTTGGTTCAATCAGGTGTCGCCTTCACGTTAAAGTTTGACTGCAGTGGATTCCTAACATTCCCCTTGCTCTAGATCTGGGTGTATTATTAGAAAAACACCAACAAAACGGCGAATTAAAACAAACACGACCTGGCAACCACAAACAGTCATGCCACCATTGTGGAATTCCATGCGTTAAAACTAAAATTACGGTTGAAAACACAAACAAAACAACGAAGCAGCTTGAAAAGTAATTTAACTTGGTGAAACTTTTGAAGTGATACAATTCAACAACAGCACCTGGTACGCAAGATTCTGTTGTGTCAGTCTAGCGCCACCTATCTCAGTGTGATATAAATATAACAACTCTTTGATCTGGGTGTTCAGAAATAACATT